TTTTTTTTTTTTTTTTTTTTTTTTAAGAATGATATCCGTCACGAACTCTACATTATCGTTTTTTTTTTTTTTACTTTGACCACTAGTTTCTTTGCAAGTTTATATTTTACGAAATTTGGCAGTCTTTCTAGACTATCAAACCTGGATATGCTTCTTGTAAGTACCTTTAAAATTGCAAAACACCAATAAATAGATTCCCGATTGATAAGCGTTGGCAGCAAAAAGCCGATTAGTAGATTTCCGGTCGTTAAAATAAATACAAATATGTTTCTGTCTGAAATACCAGAATTTTTCAATCATTTGCACTCGACTGTCCCTTCTGAGAGGACTTAAATCTAACTCAGACTTTCTCTTTTTTATAATTTGCTGATAATGAGCGTATACATATGATATGTACAATAGGACGATATCTAAACAGAGTGAAAGCTATAAGAACGACAAGCTAGAGAACAAAAGAATTTCAGGGAAAAGAAATTTCTGAAGTCCTGAGTCAATTGACACTCAATAATTCGCACAAACTTCTCACGAAAATTGCTTCTTACGAAAGTTAAAAGAAATAGCGGGGGATATTATTATAGAGACTATGTATCATTAACTCTTGCATACTATTGTATTCTATCAAATGCACGAGTTGACGATTGCTTTAAATTTAAACGATATCACACGTTGAAAAGATATGATCAACAAAATTTCGTGTTAAATACTATTCGAATAATGCTGTATCGTTTGAAGTGATGATGCTTCGCAAATAAATTGCTGGCAGATGATAGAAAAAAAGGATTGTCGAGGGTTAGGCAATTGTAAAGAAAAAAAGTTGTTCTAGTTAGAAGGCAAAAGTTTTTTTTTTATCCACACAAATGAGAGATATAGAGAGAGAGAGAGCGCTAGTCGGCTCGGAATCAGTATGCCAATATTTTCGACAACGCAGAAACGCGCGGGGATCGTAAAACTTTTACTACCGAGAAAGCTCAGCCGCCGTAGCGAGAAAGAGAGAGAGATACCCGCTTGAAAGTTGCCGCACGTAAATTTCCATCGCGTTCGCGAGTACAGACGTAATAATGGAATATTCACGGCCGGGATATTGTTAGCCCGAGACGCGATAAATAAATTCACCGTCGCGAAACCGCCCTCGCCTCTGCGCGCGGGGACTTAATCGAGCTCGATTTGACAGACTGCGAGACGACGGTTCTACACGCTCGCGAGTAGAACTTTCGCCGGGGACAAAGATCGAGATAGTTTTGTGAAACGACTCGGAAGAAACGTAGAGAAACGTATTCGTTCGTCGCACGGGAAACTGTAATGGCGCGTACGCGTACAGTCGTTTCGCTGTCTGGGAAAAAAGCTCGCCGTTGCAATTCGCCGCGGCGAAGGCAGAATATTCGCGAGCTCGGCGCTCGGTTATTAACCGTTCCCTGCGCGCAACGCCCGCGGAAAAAAAATACCTGCGCGTTCTTGCGCGCGCGTTTTAATAAATTGCCGCGAAGAGAAAATTGAAAACGCGGCTCTATGATCATCCACGCCGGACGAGAAAATTCACGGCGCCGGCCGTGTGCATGTGAAATTTCCCCTGCAAAAACGGAGTTACACGGTCCAACGCGGACGATGAACGAGCCAATTATTGTTATTATTGTACAATTAATGCGCAACAGTTTTCTGAATTAACAGCAGGGAATACGATGGGGGATCTCATTAACAGACAGGCGCCAACGCTTTTTATCCCAACATTTTGTAACGATTTGTACACATATATATATATTTTTTTAGCATGCAATTGTCTCTTGGAATTCTCTTCTTTTTCTTTTTTTTTTTTAATCGCTAGGAGTTTGCATTTGGTCGATGTTGCATCTTGAGAGACATTACACAGGGTGTGTTTAGAAAAGTTGATGTCAAACTTGAAGTGCGTGTAGCACTCATCGAAACAAACAAAGGAAAACTCAACAAACCAGCAGTTTTGGAATCGTTAGATATTTTTCTGTTTTTTAAAGCTGTAATAACGGTGTAATAAGTTTCTATGTGGAAGTCGCTATCTGGATCGTATTAGCACAACACGTGCGTATATAATAAAACTAATGGCGTGATAAAAATTTTTTCAGCTTGTTTTGACGAGCGCTCTTGAAATTCTTTTTACCATTTAACTTTTCGAGATATTTCGCAGAAATATAAAACGAACTATTTACCTATTTACCTTTAATGCCACGAGTGTTCAGTAAAAGAATAGATCAGAGTGAACATTTATCTTCGTTTATCCCGCGAAAATCGTTACCCACGGTTTCGTTATCATCGATATTTTTCTCTTTCACTTGCCTGTCCTTTCATAGGATCGTAGAGACGTTGGATCAGCTGAAGGCAGGTGGACTTGCCGCAACCGGATCCGCCGACGAGCGCCACCGTCTCGCCCCGATTGATCGTCAAGTTCAAGCCCTGCAACACCTTCACGTCCTTTCGTGCCGGATACTGGAAGTGCACGTTCTTGAACTCGATCTCGCCGGTGACGGAGGGGAGCCTCTGGCCCTCGTTGCTCAAACTATCGACCGCTGGAATGCGATCGAGCACCTGGAAAATCGCTGCGGCCGAGCCGCGCGCCACCGCGAACGCCTCGAGATGCGGCGATGTCAGACCCATGTTCTGCGCGCCGGCCAACACGCCGAAGAACACGATCACCAACACTGCCGGCGTGTACTCCTTCACATCCTTCGGCCTGTCGTCCAGGATCAATTGCACCCCGTACCTGTCGAACCATCACTTTCAGGTTGAAAACTCGCCGCCATTTCGAGAATTTTTTACCATCACTCAACCTCTCTTGACGACATTTATATATATATAAAGATGAATAGATGAAATTTGAGATCTCACTTTAGGGATTTAGATTAAAATTAACATGCACTGTTTCGTTGAAGCTGCTTATCGCACTCTGTGCAGATCGATATTGCTCGCGTTGACGGAGAAATCATCTTACGATCAGTGATTATATTCGATATTCTTTATCTCACTATCAGACTGCGGATTTTCATGCATTTATGGGAAACTTGAAGATACAAGAATACGCATAATGCACGCAATGTGAAAGAATACATGTAAAATATTCAAAGATATTTGTCAATTGTAATATTACATGGAAGAAACAGTTTTTTATTTCGGTTCCATTTCTTCAATAATATTGTTACTTATAATAATACATGGAAGAAACAGTTTTTTTATTTAGGTTCTGTTTCTTCAATAATGTTCACGGGAATCCGCACGGAAAGTCCACAGTCTGCTTACTATAATACTGCGATATTACGTCGGATTAAATCTTAAATCGTTCGTTCCCCTGGCCATTTCCTCGTATCTACGAAAACCTCGTCCATTCTCGGAGAGAGGAAGAAGAGGGGGGGGGGGAGATCGTTTCATATCGAATTAGAGTATTCAAGGCAGCCACTTTCCATGACAAACAAAGGCACACCCTCGTATGATGTTTCCCTCTTAAAGCAAGCAACTTTTACCCGAAACACCGCCGACACAATGCGGGAATTACTCGGCTGACCCGTTTTCACCCCACTCGTGCCTGTTTGCCCCGCGTCAAAGGCGTTTGTTCTGGAGATGCTCGCGTTCCTTTCGTTCTATACTACTCGCGTGGCAAAACCTGCAGCCGACGAACTGTTCAAACAACATTTTCAAGCAACGGGACGAGGCACTAGACGTGATAAACGAAACGTGTCGCGTGCTCGATCGCAGCTGTCACTGGTCCTCAAGGATCAACTGCTATCAATTGTTACTCCATGGTTCCCTGGAGTAAGTGTACAGAGATCCCGAGATTTCGAATTTTCCACTTCTCTGTCATTCACGCAAGTCAAATTATAAAATTTACCTGTCGTTTGAACTATTTGTCGGGGAACGTTTCGAAAAACTTGTTCTTTCACAGGCGAATTTGAAAGAAAATATCGTGCCAAATTCTACAATTTTACGATTAATAATTTAAACAATAAGTGAATAAGTAGATTTCATGATTTGGCACTCGAGAGTGACAGGAAAGTCGAAAAATTCGAAATACTAAATTAAAGGTACTCGCACTTGCTGAAGTGCGTCTCGAAACAACTCCAAACTCCCGAAACTTTCGGGAATATTGGCCATTTATGTAAACTTCGGAGAAGCTATACAATTTTATAATATCATTTTAAATATGTAGTCTGTACTAACAAAATTTTAAATTGCGAACTTGAAGGAATTAAAAAACTGATTAAGTAATTAATCATATACATATGAAACTTTTAGTTAAGTAAACTGTTAATCTTCAAAAATAAAAAAATATAAAATCTTCCAATGTGACAAACAAAATTACCTTTTCTCTATCATTTATTTGTAATTGTTTGATATTAAAAGTTTGATTTTATGAAATAATCCCAATTTCGACGAGGAGATTGGTGGTGACTCGTGAATCGATTCTAACCTACACGCATCGATCACGTGCACTTATTTGTTCACTGCCTCGTCTACTCGTTGAAAAGACCATAAATATGTATAGACCTACCAAAACGCCACCGCGTAGCTGATGTATATGATGAACCACATCACGCCACCACCGACGCCTGACCACATTCCACGTCTTATTCCGGTCTTTTCAGCTGGTATCAGCTTGTCCGCGTATCTATCCACTTCCTTCTGCTCGCCGTTGAACGCGATCACGGTCCTGATGGCGCCTAACACTTCCTCGGCCACGGTCCCAGCCTGCCCGTAAGCGTTCAACTCCTGAGCTGTCAAGGAGCTCTGAACTTTCGCCACGACCGCCGTGGCTATCACGATGATTGGCGCGCAACTCAGCACAACCAGCGTCAGTTTCCAGCCGTACACGAACGATATGACGATGGAAGAGACGAAGGAGATCATCAAGTACGTGAACACGCCTAGTTTCTCTCCTATGCCGTCCTTCATCTTGTCCAGGTCCCTGCAATTTCACATTTCCGACGATTTTCACTCCTTCTCTCAAGAGTACACGCGTTCGATGTGAAGTTTCGCTCTCACTGGGAAATTCTCGCGCTTTGTAGCCAAAGGTCAAATTTTGGAGGAAGGAAGGAAAACGTTGTCGCTCGTTTGAATTTACTAGATTGCTCGTATGTAAAAAAAAAAAAAAAAAAAGCAGAAATAATGTTTGTTTTTGAGTAGAACGTACTGCGGAGAACGCGACAGTGAAAAATTGCCAGTAATTTAAACTGACCTGAAGCTTGGTCAAAGCTTCTACTTTCGACAGTATCGAGGTCGTTTTTTTTTCTTTTTTTTTTCAGAATTCTTTCTTTACAACGGCTCCTTAAAACTCACTGTACGATTCTTTTTTTTCTTCACCATTTTATTCAACTTTGAACATTAAAGTTAGATGACGAAATATTAGAATTTCTTGGATCTTCGTTGTTGATTTAGGTTAATATTTAGTGCTCGATAAAACGGTGGAGGAAAGAATCGTACAACAAGCTTTAAGAGGTCGTTATAAAGAGGAGACTTCAATCTTCGGAATAATGGTGGATCTCCTTCGTTTTACTGAACTTGGAACATTAAAGTTAGATGACGGAATATTAAAATTTCTTGAATTTTCGTCGCTTATATCGGCAATAATATTCAACGTTCAATAAAATGTGGAGAGAAATCGTACAAAAAGCTTCAAGAGAGATCTAGATGCGAAAAGAATATTTTAATACTTCTGCACATGTAAAATCATTTTTTTTTTTTTTACAAAAATTATATCAGTCCAAATTGTCGACAATTTTTCATGTTTGCACTGTTTATACAATTGTATAGATTGCACTTCACTGTATGTGCAATTATTAAATTTGTAATAATAAATGAGAATTTGAATATTTGGCACGTGCAATGTTCTCTTCAGTCGCGATTGTTTTTCTCAGTTTGCAAAATTGATACTCCAAGAGGAGAAACTATGCTCTCTTCGAGAGAAATCTGACGTGCGACTTCGATTTTCAATTTCACTCGGGCGAGTTTTTGCCCCGTGATGGCCAGTTAAATTAAACGCTCGAGCCACGGATAATTTGCAAAGATGTCGGATATGTTTGCCAGGCTTCTCGTCAGTTGTACAAGGTGACCCACTCAATTAGAAACGTTCGTATAGTTCGATGTTCTATCAAAAGTATCCGACGAAAATAACAGCGGGCAACCATTCAGCGAATTAATTAAAGTTTGCCTTATCTTCTACAATACGGCAAGGTCACCTTGAAAATACCCGAGGCGCTTAGCTTCAAACGACCATGGAAATTCACCTTACCCCTTCGAATTGAACAATCAAGCCGAACGATGATCGTGAAGAATCGAACTAAAATTAGAATCTAAGGGTATGCACAGCGACGATGAAAAATCGTCAATACAAACTTCGTGAAAGTGGATCACATAACGATCCACTTGGTCTCATTTTAAAACGCGAAGTCTTTACTTTAAAAGTAAAATCAGATCGTTTTTTTCTTTTTTTTTTTGGAATGTGATTTTGAAGATTCTGAAGATGATCACTTTTTTCTTTTCAAAAATTGTAAAACTTCTCAACTTGTGTTGAAATATTTAAAAAAATTTTTCACGACTAAATCTACCATGATCCACCAAGATTCAAATTTTCTCTACTTAGAACACGCTGTACGATTTTCTTTTTCATTGCTGATTGAACATTGCGATGAAATGATAGGATTTCTGGAATTTTTTTCCTGTAATCCCACTCAATATTCAACGTTCGATGAAATGATGAAGAGAATATCATAGAACAAGTTTCAAGAGATCGTCGAAAGGGAGAATTTCAATCTTCAAAGGACGAAAAAAATTTCTCTTCTTGAAACACACGTTTGAATCTCTGCGATACTGTGTGGTGAAATTTCACACTTTAAAATGAGATCAAGTGGCTGGCCACACGATCTTCTTTCACAAAGTAATCACATCAGTTTAAATTATCGACAAATCTTCATCGTCGTTACTACACGGCACGGTTGCGCACGGTTTCGCTGAGCCTCGGTTAATCGGATAACGAAGTCGAATAATGATGGCGAATCGAATTAAAATTAGAATCTAGTCTAGGGCTATATAGGCTTCAACACGTTGCAACGAGATGATTGCTCGCGCAACGTACAGATAAAGGAAATGTCAAGGCGACGATGTGTGACACTGTCGTCGTGCCATTTATATCTAACGTTGTTCGCTCCCTGCTCTACATAGAATGATCGTACTGAAAACGTAACTGGCGCCACGTTCCAGCCCACTTCCGGGTGATTACACAGCGTTTAGGATACAATAATACACGCTCGCGGGTGTCGCGTAATCGCGTTAAGCTAAAAATCAATATTGCCTCAAGAATGTACGAAGAACTTTGTTGTTAATTCCACCCACACACGGTGTGAAATAGCGTTTTAATGGCTGATAAAGGCAACGGTTCAACGAAAACGGCGATCCTCTTCGGCTGTCATTTTTACACAAGACCGTGACACAGGGAAAATAAAACGAACAACAACATGACGCAACAACGTGATTTACGACGATTACGAAAGTACTCGAAGTGCTTGTCGTTAACAAAACTGTCAAAAATAACGCCACTGGATATTTGGGTTTATCACTGTGATATATAATTGACTTCCACGGAATACTAGCTTCTGTCATAAATTCGTTCGTTTCGTTTGTTTCGTTTTTTGACAATATTAAAAGTATGCGTCGCAAAAAAATGTGACGAACAATATATGTATAATCCATGCACGTTGAATAAAAGTACCTATACACTTATAATTGTATATAGAGAGAATACGAACACTATAAATATTTCAAATATAACACGAAATTGAAAATATAATATAATATACAATATTTAAAATATACAAAAAAATTGCTTATTATTACAGAAAATATTGGACTTTTGGATTGATGTCCACCATTTAAGTGTTATTAAGTTATGTACTGTTTGAAACAATCGTTTCAACCCTCTAATAATAATAATAATTCAGAGAAAAATTAACGATGAATTAAATATGTTTTATTGCTAAACATATATAAATTAAATATCCAAATTACATAATTCAGAGAACGTAAAAATGCACATATTGATAAAAACAGTTTCATTATTGCCGACGAATTACATAACCTAATGTTCGATGACCAATATGAGAAAGCTCGCCACTGATGAATGATTCTACAAAAGCTACTCTAACAAAACAAGAATCTCGCGGAAAGAAAATTCGGCAGGTTTTTGTCGCTTGACAGCTGCGAGTATGAAGCGTAAACAAAATTTACGTAATCGTCGTTATAAATGTGGGGCTCGTGAGCCAAATCGTTTCGAATGCCAGCCGATCGTTCGAGCGAATCGATGCTACATTCTACAACTGTTTATTGTCTTCTCTCTAATAATCTGAAATGACGTGACTCACGCGGTGTTTCGAGCGCTCAGGCGACGAAGAAGAAGAAAAATGGCGGCGTCGACGGATCTTTCCTCGCGTCGAGATTTCCACGGTGTTGCAATTACGCGATTTCGGCTTGTGCCGAAGATAAGTCAAGCCCTGGTCCCGAAATAAGTTACACAAGGATTGCGCAAGAAAAGTGCCGTAGCGCGAGCGACGCTGCGATGGTTTAATTGGCCCATGCTTGCCAGTCCATCCTTGACTTTTCGATAATTATACAGCCCGAAAACGCGACCGCAAACACAGATAGACTTTGTATCGGGCAAGGATTTCGAGTTTCACGAACGGCCACCTGTTGATGAGCAGAGCATCTCGTTCCCTCGACTTTGCTCCTCGCTTCACCTCTGAACTCGGCAGAATACGTGTTCCTCCCGAGACTTGATCGAGAAAATATGGCTGCTTAATCCCCTTACGACTTAGTTCCCTTGACGACTGATATCA